GATGCTCCCCATGGCTAAATCAAGACTCTTCCTTTTCCAAGGCCAGTCTTGTTGGGCGACACCGTCTTCAGCAAGAAAGAACGGCGGCGCGAAGCGGCGTGCCCTGGCTCAGTGAGAACTGTTTGGAAGTGTGTTCACCTAATCAAGTGTATTGTTGGCCGAATTATTGGCCGAATTGCTGGGTTCAATGAACTTGGGGTGAGTTCTCAATCCGGCCTTCACATTAGAATGCCGGAACGTATTGAACCTACAGAGGTTGTTGATCCCTTTGCTTGATTGCCTTGGTCTTCTCCGTTGCAGAGACACACTTGTGGTGCACATCTCCTCGCACTCGCACATTTTCTTGAGCCAAGGTTGCCCTTGGCTACCTTGTTGAGCATGCAGAAGGCAGAAGTTCCGTCCGAGCGTGTTGCTGCTCATGCAGCACTTTTCCGGCCGGGTATGGATTAGGGTCCTGGGCATTACGAAATCTCGTGATGTCATGTTCCTGGGGCCAATCATTGGTTACGGTACTAGCCACGCCCAGGCAAAGTAGTGAATGATAGATTTAAATCGCACACACTAGTTGTTCTTGGATGCTACGTTTGAGCAGGTCGGATGCACCCCTTCTGTCAGGATGTGGCGTCCATCGGCAAGGCTGATGCAGTGAAAGAGCTTGCAGCCGTCGGGGTGCTGAGTTACCCAAACAAAGAAACAAGAACACCGTTTAGTCACTGATAGATCTGATGGCGATGCACTTGTTACCAGTTTGCACAGTATGAGGCTCCGGATCCGTTCCCTTAAACCTTCGATTCGCTCTCTGTGTCTTGCTTTGGGTGCCAGTGCCAGCGCTGGTAAAGGAGAGTAGGTCAATAGAAAGCATACATGTAACACTCAAGTCGCAGCCTGACACAAAGAGAGGTCATTTCCTTCGTTGCGTTCGACTCTCCGTTGAGGCCTGCCAAGGGGCAGTTGAAAGCATCTCAGAACTCATTGGTAGCAGAGCCTTGGTTCTGAAAGCCGGGTCCATGAGCAAAAGTGGCAGCAGGCGAGAGGGATCAGATTTTGGCGAAGACAAATCGGTCTTGTGGCTCATAGTCAGGGTCATCGATAGATCCTCCTTGGATCAGGAGCCATGTCCGGATCACTTGCCGCCCGCAGCTCGACACCAGACAGGCTGGAGAGTGGGCTCAGTGGCAGGCTCGGCTGGCTCAGTGCAAGCTCAGCTTATGCCCCCAGCTTGGCGCCAGAAAGGTTGGAGAGTGGGCGCGGCGGGCTCAGTGCCATCAGAGCTGTTGGTCGTGTTGGTGACCCTGACTGGCCGATGAAGTTGCTTCCCACGGAGTCCGAAAGACGCTCCTGCGCTGGCATGGGCCCGCGCATTCGTGCAATGCAAATCGCAGAGGCGCGCAAGGACAGGGGTTCGTACAGTGGGCTCCTTTCTTTTCCACGATGTTCGTACTGTGCGGCACTGCTTTCTGCCCCTGCATCATGTTGGTCCAGAATATCCACGCTCGCAAGGTCAGCCGGCTCGATTGTCAGTGCCAGGGAGAGAGAGAGAGAGAGAGAGAAAAGGGGGGATGAGAGAGGTCCCTCTCCCTCTCTCTCTCTCTCTACATTTTAAGTTTTAACAGATATTTTTTTGCTGGGCCTAGGCTTTTTCGATCGAGGGGTGGCTACTGTAGAGATCTGTAGAGTGTGTAATGCCGTAACCCTGAAGGACCCCAAGGTCGTTTTGGGAGATGAACTATCTGCTGCTGCCCATGCCAATGATGCTGCGAAGGTCAGCTCCTTGCTTGATCGAGGTGCGGACCCCAATCACATTCACTTCACGTTGTGCTCCAGTGTTCCGCTGTGCCGCACCACAAGTCCTGAAGTTGCAAGAGTTCTGGTAGCACATCCAAATATCGATGTGAATATCAAGGACGTTAACAGCTACACCATTTTGTCCAACATGGTGCTTCACAACCGCACGAATGTGGAGTTGGTGTTTGTGCTGCTGGCGCACCCAGATTTGGACGTTCATGCAGGTCGACCCATCAAAATTGCGGCTCGCGTTGGCACTTGTGACATGCTGAAGATTTTGTTAGGGCACCCCAACTTGGATATCAATGACGCATGTGGATTGCTACACTATGCTGTGTGCCGTACAGATTCCGCCTCAGTGGAAGTGGTCAAGTGGCTTCTGGCCCAAGGGGTGGACCTCAACCTGCGGCAAGACGAGAACGGCTCGACGGCCTTGATGTGGGTCGGTGGATGGGACTCCTTGACCATTGAGATCGGTGAGAAGGAATCGGTGAAACGAAGGCAGATCGCCGCAAGACAGCTGGAGATCCTTTCAACGCTGCTGGCCCGCAGTGACCTGGACGTCAATGCAGCGGACGCCAAGAATCAAACAGCTTTGCATCGGATGAGTGTGGCTGGGCGGGTTGATTTGGTGCAAGTTTTACTGCAGGATCCGAGGGTCCTCCCTAGCATTTGGCACCACGATTCTGAAGGGAGGACACCGTTGGATGCTGCGGTCAAGGCCTTTGAGAAGGAAAAGGAGAAAAAAAGATGGGAAAGACCTGCGCACCTCAGCAAGTTTGAGGAGGTGATTCCACTTCTGAAGAGCTTTGCTGAGAAGAAACGAGCAGAGCTGGAGAAGCTTGTTCCTTGTGAACTCTCAAAGCATCCAGGGACCTGGTCCATGGCTGTGCAGTCGCTTTGAGATCTTTGAGACTGGGGTCTGGAACGTTGAATTCCCCATGTGCTGTGAAGAGCTTCAAGAATTTCAAGGGTCTTGAAGATTGCATCAATTAGCAGCTAAGCACTATGCTGTACAGTCATGCAACTACGTAGCTTATTTGCAACTTTTGTCCGTGAAATGGACTGACTTATCACGTGCTTTACCTCGTTCAAACATTCTGACAGACCTCTCTACTCTATAGCACTCATTGCGTAGATTGCACCATGAACGGCGGCCTGACCTCACAAGGTTTCTAGGTGGGTGAGATGGTTCTAGTTCTTAGACTTCGTTTACGGGTTGTCCTTGAATGTGTTGTTGCGCTTACGTCATGCTTTTGTCACTTTGTGACTTTGTGATTGCGCTTACAACATCTTACAACCATCAACCAGCCGAGTTGAATGAAGAAACTGAGCTTCTCACTTCAGCTTCGCTATTTGTTCCTACTGTCATTGCCACACTGCTACACCCCACTCAGCCTTTTTTTTGGTTTCTTTTGTTGCATTTTTGGTGCATCTCGGCACATGTTTTTTCCATCCGCCCACCTGTCTGAGCTACTTCCCACCTGTTTGAGCCTTTCACATTCGCGATAGTCTTAGTAACTGGTGAATCGAACAATGAGCCATTAGCTGAGCTCAGCTTCACGAATCCAAGGAGTGCGACATGCACCTGAAGAGGTGTCGCGTGGGCCTTAATGTTCTTAAGAAATTAAACATATAACATCATATAGCTACTATAGTTTCAGCCAGGGAGGGCACAGACTGGCACATATTTCAGGCATCCCACGGCTATTTTTGCTTCACCTGTGCAATGATGACGAAGATCTTCTTGAATTGGAAGCTCAGGTTAGATATGCTGCCAGAACTGTTATCATTGCCGTTGAACTGGCGAGCTTGTGCCTCAGGAATGTGTAACAAAGCAGACTCATCCATGCAGGCTTTTTGCATGCCATGCTTTGGGCTCAAGCACAAGTCATGCTTGACATCCCTTCAACGATCCGTTGCAGCAGTAACCACACGCAGCAGCAGTGTTGGACAGGTCGCAGCGGAGCCCCTGGCGGATGCCTTGGCGCCGCTACTCAAGTGGGGGAAACCGAGAGAGATGCCAATGAGGGTGTGCCATGGGCTTAGGGGCTTAGGAAACGTCATTGTTTCATATTTTCATTGCTTTGGTCACTAGTTAAAAGTTGAAAGCTGAAGTGACTTGGATCACTAACTAGCCAGGAGAGAATCCCAGTATATAGCCCTGGCAAATCGAGCTTTGTTTGTTGGAGCGGCACATCCGCGCTGGACACGAACACCATCTTCGCAGCTCAGCTTTGACGGACGGTGCCAGTTTCTGCCTTCCACACCGCCATGGCCCGCTCCTCCATGAGCCTCCTCCCTGTGGTGCTTTTAGCGCTTGGCGCCTGGATGCTGAGCATGTCGACCCAAAGCGGCTTCGTGAACTCGGCCACCCCTAGGGCTGGCAGCAAGATGGCCATGCGAGGCTTCAAAGATGACTTCTATGCCTGGAAGGACACCTTGAGCAAGGATGATCAGGCGCTTTTGCTCAAACAGGCCCAGAACGAGCCTTGGCACAGACAAACAGAGCAACGAACTCATAGACATGCAAAAGATTGCAAAAGGTATGATTCCGCATGAGTCAGTGAGTGAGTGTTTTGATACATGTTTTGATATTCTTAAGCCGTCATTCCCGCTGTCGTACTCCGAGTTCGTTGACTTGCATCGCAATTTTGCCGAGTCAAGGAGTTCAACAAGAAGTTCCGAGCCACCGACGACTTCAAGACAAGCATCTCAGAGGAGAAGATTGAGTCCTTTGGCAAGGTCTTGCAGAAGTTCTTCGACAACGAGAGGGAAGACTATAAGAAGGATGTTGAAACAAGGACCTCAGAGTGTGGCAAGGCAGCTTCAATATCAAATAAGCACGCTGACGCTGTAAGTTTAAACATGTGATGTTGTTGCCAGCGCCAGCTATTTACAAGCAGTCAGGACTCCGGACTACGACTATTTGCAGACCAAGTCCAAACA